CACATTATGTGAGAGAAGATTGTGATGGCAACGAGGTGGGTTTAGGTCGAGGCCAGTGGCCCTCATCGGGCAATTTTTCATCCCCTACCCACCCCGTTACCCATTTAAGGCGGCACGAGTCAAGTCTGCAACGTGGAAGAACTTGCACCATTTATTATTATTATTATTATTATTGTTATTATTATTATTATTATTATTATTATTATTATTATTATAGTTCATTTTATTGTTCTCATTCATAAAGTGAGACAATAATGAAGTTATTAAATTTTTGAATTAATTTATATTACTTTTTGAAAGTTAAATTATTTGAATATATTTGGTAAACTAAAGTTTTATTGTTCATCATATTTTTTAGATAATCAAAGTTGTCACCTTCCATTATAAATTAATGAAATTTTGTGGAGTTTTGTATTTAAAGTATTGAATTTTTAAAGAAATAAACGAGGTGGGTAAACCTATCCTAGGGTGAAATTCTTCGCCACGTACCTGACCCAAATACTCAATTAAGCGAGTAATCCACTCCTCGTTTGGGTTGGATCGCGGTTATCAAGATTGACAGATTTTTTTGCCATCTCTATGGAGGCTTTGGTGCTTGTGGCACAAGGATATACATTTCCTTTATTGGTGCAAATTGGTTGTATGCTTTTGGTGTTTTGGTGCTAAGCCGCAGGTTGGGCTGAGGAACTTTTGGTGAAGGGAGAAGGGGAAGAGCAAGTGCAAAAGGGAGTTATAAATCGATACAGCAATGAGAGAAAACTTGAGGGAGTTTTGGCATAAAGGTTGTGGTGGTGGTGGACTATTTGCAGGGTGTTGTTGCCGTTGTCGTTGCCGCATAAACGAAAAGAGTGGTTTGAATCTTCTAACCAAAAGATGTGGAAGCCATTGCATTAAGAGAAACTCTAGTGCAAAAGGGAGTTATAAATCGATACAGCAATGAGAGAAAACTTGAGGGAGTTGTTGGCGTAAAGGCTGTGGTGGTGGTGGACTATTTGCAAGGTGTGGTTGCCGTTGCCATTGCCGCATATAGGAAAAGAGTGGTTTGGATCTTCTAACCAAAAGATGTGGAAGCCATTGCATTAAGAGAAACTCTTGCTTGCTGGTGAAAATGGGATAGTAGTTGCGACTAGAAAATGAGATTCATTACACGAAGTTCAGAGTCCATGTTTTATTCTCAGAAATGGGAGTAAAGTGAGTGACCCGTAAACTCAAGCCTGGTGCTTTGTTGTTAACTAATTCAATTAGTTGGGTCAACTATAATTCTGCTTGTTATTTCACACATCGTTAACGATGACTCACCTAAAACAGAAATTTAGTTGTTTCAATAAATAACAGTGTTCTATAAAATCTACCTAAAACGTTTTGCCTTGACAATAAGCGTGAGTGAAGTGGTCAATTGTTAAAGTTGCATAATGTGTGTCTATGCGCGCTTTATTATTATTATTATTAGTTTTTCTCTGCTTAGAAAACCTATTATTTGACTTTAGTTTATTAACTATTTTTTTTATCTTTTTCTTTTAAAAGGCTTTTATTTGACTTTAATTCTTTTTAAATGACTTTTTATGCACAAAAGTAAAAAAATAACATTAACCAATAAAGATTGTTAGATAAAATTTAAGTTATGGTGCTATCTACACTATGTAATTATAATTATGGAACTTGTCATTTTGTTGAAAATTTTGAAAGTATGTATGAAATTTTGGGTAAATACCACAAAACATCCATATTTTCAATATTATTGTGCAAAACATCCATAACTTTTATTTTTTTGACATTTTTACCCATATTTTCACATTTCAGTGCGTAAAAGGTCATTTTTATCCATTTTCCCAATAAAAAGATGATTTTATCCCCTATTCAAATAAAACAAAAAGAATAGAATAGAAAAATAAAGAGTTAATTGCAACTATAATCCCAAATTTTCGAAAAGTTACAAATCAGACACAATATATACTTAAAAATCAAAACTTAAAAAAAATAAAATATAAAATCACAACTATTACTCCAGGATACATTACATGTGTTCCTCTTCAGTCCAAGGCTTTGCTACTGTTTCCTACACGTTCTCCTTGGAATCCACCAAACACTCGGCTTTTTCAGATTCTACTGCAACCGACACTACCGTAGTGTCTGTATATAGTAGTGGCATAATTAATCCATCCTCAATTAACACCAAATATTGCAAGGGATCGTGATGTAGGTGCATCAAACCTTAAAGCGTAGAGGTAGCAAACGGCAGCGATTGTGACTTAAAGTTTGGTACTAAAATGAGTTGGGCAATCTTGGTAGACGAGGAAGATGGTGGCAGTAGGCGGATTTGTGGACTTGTCGTGGTAATAGGTGGTTGGGTAGCAGTGGCGAATCTAGAATTTTGAGTGAGTACGGAAGGACGTTGACTGTTGATCGTAATAAAATATTAAAAATTAAATATAATAATTATTTTGAAAACAATTGAACATATATATTTTTGTTATAGTGGTAGGGTTTCTATAATTCAAAGCAAAGAACATGGGTTCTAATCCTTTCAATTGCATTAAAACAACTAAAACAAAATATATATTATTCTGTTATACTTTGTATCAAAATTCATTGAGTGCCATAATGGTTGAACTATCAACAATTTTAATGATATGTCACAGGTTCGAATCCCCACTCTCTTACATTAGTTTTAGTAAAAATTGAAGAATTATAAAAATTGTGCAATAAATTTGGTTAACAAAAGATTCAAACCCTACACCTTTCATTTGTAAGTAGAGGCTCTAACCAATTGAGCTATTAGAAGTGTTTAGAACAAATATGAATTACCAGATTTATATATATATAAAATGTTTATCAACTATTGTCAACAAAAAAAAGCTCTCGGCGGATCCAGCTAGGGCGGCCGCCCTAGCTTGCCACCAGCTGGATCCGCCATTGTTGGGTAGGGTGGTTTGTAAGGCTACGAAGCAATGACGTGTGGTGGCTAATGGTGTTGAAAGGTGACGGGCGATGGGAATTGGTGGTGGTGAGCAGCGGAGTTGGCGACAAGGAACGATTGGTGTGGGTTTGTTGGATAAGTGGTGTTTGCAGTGTTGATCATGGTGGATATGTCAAAAGACTGGGAAGAGATGGCACCGTTTGAGGCTGGTGCTTGATGGTATGGGCCAAGCAGGTGGTAGAAATGGTGTATGAGTAATTGCCATGGTTTTGGCTGCAGAAAGGTTGGGAAAGGGAAGAGACGTCTATGCCACAGGAAGTGGGCAATGAGGATAAGTCTAGGGAGCATTTTTGGTGATTAGGCGACGGTGGGTGGTGGTTTGAGTATGGACCGCCAATGGCTCCATTAAAGAGAAAGAGAGGTATTTTGCTTCCTTTCTTTAAAAAAAATAATAATAATAAAATATTTTTAAGTGTATATTTGTGACTGATGTGCAATTATTCTTTACCTTTTCTTTTTGTTTTATTTGAACATGGGGTAAAATTGTCTTTTTATTGAAAAAATAGATGAAAATGATATTTTGCACAATGAAAAGGTGGAAATAGGGATAAAAAAATTAAAAATGAAAGGTGGGAATATTTTGCACAATAAGATTAAAAGATAGGGACGTTTTGTATTATTTACCCATGAAATTTCTATAAATATGTTAAATGTAGCTTGTATAGTTAAAAGCTAAAACTATGAAAATTTATCTAGCTGCTATATTTCAAAAACTCAAAAATTATATAATTGACTAATTGTAAAAATTATTAAGTAAATATAATATTTTATATTTTTTGATATTTGGACTTTAGTATGTATTATTTCACTACAATAAATTTATACTTTCCCTACAAAATTTCTATTGACAAATTAAGATTTGTAAGTGAAGTTCACTTCTTTTCACGAAAATGATGTTTCACGGGACTACAATATACTTCAAAATTTTCAATAGTGGAGGATTTATGTCCACAAAAATTTGCACTTTCATTGACAAAAACTTTGACAGATAAGATATATTTTTGTCAATATAAAAATTTGGTGTATTCATAGTCCAATAATTAACCGAGATAATTGAATTGCATACCCTCTTCTTCAACTACGAGGGCATTTATAGGTTTTCTTCGAAAATGTCGGGATAGTTAAATCATTTCTACATTGTACGAGATGGTGACTCCTTTGTTGGTTGGAACACACAACTAATTTGGTTATGCATTACGCTTTAATCATTTGTCCATGTGCTCCTTATAGACAACCTATGGGCAGGCAGTACATGGTAAGTGGTTCGCAATCTTTATGCAAGCCTTCTTTTTTCTTTTTTCTTTTTTGTTCTCTTCGCGTGTTGCCTTTCACCTCACCAATGACCAAAGGGGTTCACGAGATTTATTTCGAGGGTTTACAAATAGATCGAGCCTTTTTTTAATGAACCATACAGAGCCTAGAACTTTGGCTCATGAAACGACTCGACTCGCTGCCAATTAGCATCGACTACGAAGTAAAATATTTTTATCATTTGAATTATAATTATTAGAATTATAGAACTTTGATTTGTAACATTTTTAGTGATATTATTTATATTTGAATGTGAAATTTTTGTGTAATAATTATGACTTAACTTATTCGATATTTATTAATTATTCTTTGTTAAATCATGACTTTAAATCCAACTAAATTGAAAAAGGTAATTTGAATTAATTTGATTTAAAAAATAAAGTTGTTTGATTTGGTTTGTAAGGTAATTTGAATTAATTTGATTTGAAAAATAAAGTTGTTTGATTTGGTTTGAAAAATTTTCAAACCCTTCAAGTGATTTGGGTTGAAATTTGTCTCAAAGACTCGAACCACCCAAACCTGTTCATTCGAAACAATAATTAATAAGTAAGAATTAACGAAAGATAAGGAACACGAGAGAAAAAAATTGAGACGTCCACCTCCACTCTCAATCAACCGAAGTTGAGACGTCTACCTCCACTCTCTACTTCTCAACAGAAACAAATCAGTGAGACAAGCATTGCAAATCAATTAGGAAAGGCAAAAGATGGGATTCGTGAAGCAAAACTTCAAATTGTAATAACACACTGAGGAAATTAAGCAAGGCCGAGTTGGAAAGACAAAATGAAATGAGACTCACTGTCCTGATTGACAGTGATAGCCTCGTCTTTCAAAGGGTATCGATAGTTGATTACAGCACAAACCAATGTCCCACACCTGTCAAAATAAACTCGAAACTCGAAAAAGATTCAAACATCTTCAATCAAGGGCAAAAAATGAAAATAAAAATGGAGGATTTCTTCGTAACCCATTAAAAAAATGGTTCTACATTTTCTAGCATGGCGATTTACTGATCTCCATGCAGGGACTTGATGATATCAGAATCACCTGAAAATATGTAACATTTAGTCAGCCATGCCAATTATTTGGACGAGCAAAAAATTGAAAGGTTAAGAAAATGGTGTAATACCAGGGTCAATGATGCTTAGGCATGATACACGGAAATACTTTCCACATCCTGTTCCCAGATCAACATTGTCTACATATACATATAGGGAGCAAGAATAAGAGATAATGACATTTAGGTGAGTTCAGAGACCTCTAGAAAGTAGCCACACAACAGTACCAGGAAACACAATTAATCAAAGAGTTTGGAAGTATTAGGGCTAGAGAGCCAAAAGCCACGACATGTTTAAACTTCATGGGCACTAGGTTGTAAGAAAACCAGTGTTCTAAAAAGCTGCCCAGACGCGAGACATGGACAGAATGCCATGCCTTGGCAGTGATTGCAAAATTAAGTGGTCGTTTAATGTGTGCCTTATTAACTTTTTTCTTTATTTAAAATTATTTTTTCTTAATCGTGCAAAGGATGATTTTGAGTTCGACAACGTGGAAGACAAATTAGATGAAGATGAGGATATCGAATTCGAGTCTAATAATAGTTAGATACGATTTAACCTAAAATGTTATCTACATTATGTAATTATAATTTTGAGATTTATCGTTTTGTTGAAAACTTCAAAATTACATATAAAGTTCCCATAGATCTATTAAATGGAACTTGTCTAGTTAAAAGTTGATATTATGAAAAATAGTCTAACTTTTACATTTCAGAAATTCGAAAATTGTATAATTGACTAACTGTAAGAATTATTAAGTAATATAGCATTTATAATTTTAGATGTTTGGTATGTATTATTTTAATTATTAAATAAATTTTAGAATGATTAAAAATTTTAAATATTATTTAAAAAAAAATAAAAATACACCTAAACTAATAAAATTTGAAGCTTGGCTTACACCCCTAATCACGCTTTACTCTTTTTTTTTTTAACACTAAAGAAAAAAAGTATGATTTGCATATGCACCTAATGACGCAACATGTCCATAAATTAACCTTTAGTGATTCCTACTTCTATTAATTGCCAAGCAAATAATTTAAGAAAAGGGGAAAAACATGCTCCCACAAAAAGAAGGAAAATTTGTCAAAAATAAAAGCGAGAACCTCAAAAGATTACAAGTTATGCAAACCAATTTATTATCACAGTCTCAATCCCAGGAAAGACTTAAAAGACAACAATTATTGATCCCTCGGGAGCCCTATCAAGTGATTAGTGTAAAATTGTGAATCCATTATCCAAATACCTACATGAGAAGGTAATGATTTTATTAGTTAAATTGACACTGGTTGATTCAAAGTATTCTTGTTTTCTTGTGTAATTCTCTCTATTTTTCCAATGATTCTATACATATTCCAATTTTTATATTCTCAAAATCAAATAAAAAAGAATGGATTGTCCGCTACGGCTCTACTACCACAAGAAAGTAAATATATACAAAATATACCTCCCTTCAGCTATGATATCCAAGAATAAATTGATGTTTGCTATAGAAATTAAATACTAACAAGTAAACGTTGAGACATTGAAAGTACATGATCATTATCTCAGTGTAATGAAATTCATCCATTCGTTATTATAACATAAAATTGCAAGTATCTAAACAGGAAAAGAAAAATCAGTTTAAGCAGGAAAGACGTACTTCCATTGTAGTGATGAACACCGACTTTAGCGAGCATGGCGTAGTATTCAATCTCCGACTTTCTCAATGGCGGGCAGTTGTTTGATATCAATATCAATTTTCCTGTTATTTTCATTTCGCAAAAATATTAAACCATTATTATATAAAATCAATAATGTAATTTTTATTTTATATGAAAATTATTGCAAATGTACCTTTAGAGTTCCTGAGGGATTTTAGGACAGTCTTGTAACCAAGAGTGTATTTACCACTCTTCATCACAAGCGCCAGTCTGTTGTTTATGCTCTCATGACTCTTTTTCTGCATTTTTTTCCCCAATTTTTTGCATAAAAATTCTTATTATGATTAAAAAATGCTAATAAAACATAGAACAAAATTTACGCGATTCAGTATGTTTGTATGAATTGTAAGAGAGGAATATGGGTAGTTTTACCGTCTTCTTGCCGGTAGACACCATCATGAGGGAGATTCCAAGCGCTGCGGCGGCGGCAGAGCAGGAGGAGAAGCGGAGGGGAAGGAGGTAAAAGCTTCGTGATTTGGAGTGTTTTATTTTAGGGTTTAGTTATTGTGGCACGTGTCATTCACATATTGGGTGGAACATTGAATGAGTCGAGAGGCCCAATATTGTACGTGGGCTATTTCTTGGATTCAGCTCCGTCCTGTTTCAAGTTTTCGGGGAAAAAATCATAGGGAAAAAATTCTCATCTCAGCCAATAAGCCTTGTTTGAGCCCTTTTTTGTCAAAAAAAAAATATTTTTGAATAGAATATTGATAAAAAATGTGTGGTTAAAAAATTAAAAAAAATTATAAATTTACATATAATATTATTTTATTGAAGAATGTGTGATTGAAGTGAAGTCAAATCAATGTTGAAAATGTATTTTGATGAAAAAAAGAGCTCAAACAAGTGCTAAGTACACAATAAATAATTTTTAGACATTAAATGCCTATTCGATAGTGATTATGAGAATTGATTTTTTGACCGTTAAGAAAAAAGTGAATCTCACCTTTGAGTAAAGAAGACAAAAATGACAAATGAAATAGTGAAATAATAGTCAAAAATTGATTTTTTTTGAAGTAAAAAATTACTATCAAACGGGAGCTAAGTATCAAAATTCAAAAGTCAAGTTGTTGTTTTAATTTTAAATAATAATATATCAAATTAAATTATTTATCCATAGCAACCCTAACAAACAACCACACCATCCTATTGTCGGCATCCACTCATCGTTGGCATTTATCCGCTGACATCCACCTTCTTGGTGACTTCTTCAATGGTGAATGAACATCGTCGACGACTGGTTATCTTCTTCATTCATGACTCAATCGTATAACTCAAAATTGAAAATTGAAAAATAGTTCCTTATGTATGAGATCTGGTTACTTGAATTTTTCACCAATTCGAATAATTGAGTTCGAAAAAATCAATAGCATGTGGTCAAATCTTTTGGATCTGTAGCATGTAACTTAGGCTAATGGACTATGACCAAATCTCTTGAACTCGAGACTTGTAACCTATGCACTTGACATGTGGCCTAGTCAACAGCCTGTGAACAATTCTTTTGGGTCTGTGACCAAAATTTTTGAATTTGTGACTTATGACCTATGCACTTTGACATGTGCCCTATTACACATAACCGTTACTTGATCCAAGGGCAAGTGAACAAATATCTTGGATTCATGACCTGTGACTTGATCCAATGGTTGCAACCAAATCTATTTAATCTGTGACCTGCAACCTATGCATTTTGACATGTACTCATGTACTTTAACAAGTACATATTTAAGAGATTTAGTCATAGAAACTTGATCGGCTAACCCAACCCAGCACCACCACTAGTTTTTTCTCAATCCAAGAGTAGATTACCAATTTTGAGTCTTTTAGCAAACAAACGAATACAAAAACAAGAAGAATTCCTCAAACCACCTAAGTTACTGCCACCATCTAAAACCCACAATACCACTATCATCGTCACCTTTGCCTCAAATTAACAACCATCAACACACCAAATTAAGACCAATTATATGTAGCCACAACAGAAGACACAAATATTAAATTTAGACATAGAAATCTAAATGGGCGATGCCATCCCATAGTAGATAGATCTACAGCGACTGCTTCATAACGATAAGCGCTCAATTGTTCGAAAGCACTAAGCTGACGAATTGGCCGCTGTGCCACCGCACGCAATGGCGATTGAGCTTCGTCGTATCAGAGCATCGCTAACGCTCGCACGAATGAAGAGAGACCCAACGATCGATGAGAAAAAACAGAGAATGGTAGAGAGAATGTGTGAGGGAGTGAGAAAAAAGAGAGAGTCATTTTGATTGAATGACTGATTTTTCTCAATTAAACTTAGTACCTAATTTAAAAACAACGGTCTTTAAACACCAACTCGGGTGTAATTTCCACAAAATCATATCTAAGGACTTAAGTTTAAGCATATTCAATTTTAAGAGAGTAAGTTTACATTTTCAAAACTCAAGTGATAATTAAATTTTATTAATTAGATAAATAATTATATATAAAGTAATTCCAATCTCTTTTTAGTTTGGGCCACATATACAGTCATCTGCCCTACCACCATTCCCTCTTATAGTCCCTGACATCCACCGTCTCAGGATTAGCTCTCATAGTCATCGGTATTTAACAAGCTTTGCCCCAAAAAAATCTATAGAGATCGTTGGCAACTTACCATCTCTTTTAGCGACAAACTGATCATCACTTAGCTGCTATTGAGCATCGCCGACTCATATAATGAAGAGAGGGAGAAATATAGCAAACGTTGAGAAACATCGACTGAGCATCACTGGAAACTTCTTCAGCTACAACTGAGTAGTGTTGGTGTAATTAAAATCTATTTTTAAAATTGAAAATTTAAAAATAGCCTCTGATGTAATTTATAGAATACTCACCAAATCAAATTACTTCGATTATCAGTGCTGAAATCTAATTAATTGAATTTATGACCAGTTCGAAGAAATCAATGTTATGTAACCAATTCTCTTGAATTTATTGCTTATGATATTGTTCAAATGACATGTGGTCAATTTTCTTTGATTTGTGACCTGTAGATATTGATTTATTACCTATGAATGGTGACATAATACCTATTAATATTGACATGTGAACATCTGTAACATATAGAATATGGCCCATGATTTGTGAATGGTGAAGTGTGACCTATGAACTATAGCTTGTGACATGTGAACTATAACATGTGACCAATTAATATCGACTTGTGATCTGTGGGCATATGTGACCTATAAAATATGATTTGTGACCTATACAATATGACTCGTGACGTGTGAACTACAATATGTGACCAATTAATTTTGACATATGAAACATAAATTAGTGATATGTGACTTGTGAATATTGATTTATGACTGTAACAATTGAACAAATTACATGTGACATGTTATTCGTTCACATATCACATGTAATTTGTTGGTAATAGGTTAACCCAATATATTGGTCGCAAACCTTATTTATACAACCTCAATCCAATTCAAACCTAGCATTACCAATTGCCGCTTGCCACCACTAGAACCACAACCGTAACCACCACCACCATCACATCGCATTGAATTAGAAAACCGTAGTGAATCTCTAGTGGTCAGTAGTAAAATTGATCATTTGACTTGAGTTCATCAAAGTGTCTTATACAAAGACATTCATATTTTGCTGATGTTGGACGTTACTTTGCCAAGAATTGCAATAAAACATTATTCGAGTATATCAAGTATTATATGAAAGTAGTAAATAATCAATAGATGATTCATCACTCTTAAATAATAAGAGATTATGATCTACATTTCATTCGCTTAAGTTGATATTGAAATTCTTGGCCAAGGTGAGTACGTAAGTTGAAAAGAGTTTTGACTATTATTGACTTGAGAGTGAAATGAAAGATATGATCGATAATTGATATCGAGACACTTCCACATCTTGCAACTGATCAAGTTATATTAATGAAGGGGTTATAGTTTAACAGTAAATGAACAAGTTTGATTTGTCATACCACATGACTTTTTCATCACTTGTATTACCTTGATAAATTGTTAGATGTCAATCGTGAAGATGTGAACTAATTAATCTATGTGAATTAAAGGGGAGTTTTTAATTCATCTTAAATAGTTCATACCATCCAACATTGTGATCAGGAACTTAATGGGTCACATAGAAAATGGAGAACTAAAAGAATGATATAAATAATTAATTAATTGATGAGTGTGTAATATTCCTAGAACTAATTAACTAATAGGTCAGCTTATGTTTAATGGATGGTCAAGGCCACTTAAACATCTATAAATAAACAATTAGGGTTTGAATATTTCATTATTACAATAACATATCAACACATCAAAAATTCAGAAAACCATATCATAAACTTGATAGTAGAAGAAAGAAATACACTAATATCTCGTCCTTGTTCTCTTGTGTAGATTATTATTAAAGGTTGGACAATTGAACAGTTATGACATAAAAAGATCTTGATTCACAAAAGGTGTGGAAAGATCATGATTCATAAAGGCGTTGAAAGAGTAAAGATCGTGATTGTCAGTGATCAAGATTCTCAAAATAATAATAACAACAACAATAATAATAATAATTGAAGGATTTGTAAAATATATAATTCTAATTACAATTTTTATCTAAACACAAAAACGACTGTTAAAGAAAATTGAAATTATTTACATGTATAAGTAAATTCTCAAAGTCCAGATTTGTGATGGACAATAATTACAAAATTTATCAGATAAAATCAGTTTCAGATGTATTGCCCGGAACCTTGTGGACCTAAACGCCACAAGAACAATTGTACCTTAGCTGTAGACTTAGAAATTATTTAAAAAGTAGTTTAATTGACTATACTTTTAGTGAAAAATATAAAAATTTAATTTAAGAATTTACTTAAGAATTTTTTTTTTTTTACAAAACAATACAATTTTCCATGCATATTACCTACTTTGTTACGTAAATAATGGCTTGCATGTGTTTAACAAATAGGTAAAAGAATTTTAAACAATTTTCCATGCATGCACACCATTTAGGTAGTAAAAAAGACTAAGCCCCCATTTAGTCCCATTCTCTTTCATTTTTTTTTATCTCTTATTTTCAACCACACAATCTTCCATATAATAATATTACAAGTAAATCGAAAACTTTTCATTCTTTTTCAACCACATATTCTTCAAAAAATACTATTCCAAACATTAAAATTTGAGAAATATGGAGGCCAAATGGGGGCTAAACTATTTTGCTTTTTCTATTTTGTGCGGCAATTGTCAAAATAATTTCGTTTGCATAGTTATCAACTCTGAAATTTCACGAAATTTTAAGACAAAGTGAGAAACTTCTATAACATATGATATCTAAAAATTGGCTTCTGCTAACAACATATGAGGCACTAAAATATTTTCCGAAATTTCACGACGATTTGATTTGGGAGAAAAATCAGCACTGTCTACTTAAAATAAATTATAAAATTTTAATTACATCGGATTGTTATCATTTTAAGTTTATCTAGTAGCT